TGCTGCCACTCCCGGAGGGCAGCGGCGAGGCGCGCGGCCGGAGCAGGTCTGCCGCTCGGCGCCCGGAGCCCCCGCCGGCTCCCTCCCGGCAAGGGGAGGCGCTGCCGGGGGAGCTGCGCCGCCCGCGGTGTGGGGGGGGCGAGGGGCGGGGGTTGAGGGGGAGCGCGTGGGCCCGACGTGCCACCCTCCCCGCCCCAGGCGAAAGGTGAGGGCGCGCGGCTCCTCCCGGGGCCCAGGCGGGGCAGGCAACTCAGGGGCGGGGACGCAGCGGGAGGGTAGCGTCTCTGGGTGGGGGCCGGCGAAGCGCGGGCAGGGAAAAAAGTTGCAAGCTCGGCGGGGAGAGGGAAGGCTGGGTGCTCAGCAGGAAGGGGCGAGCGGGGGAGGAAAGGAGCCCCAGGCGTAGGTGCGCGCTCTTGCGGGTTCAGCCCCAACAGCTGGTGACCGTGGGGGCTAGCCGAGCCGTCGCTGTCACCCAAGGGCGGAGAAGCCAGAGACGGGAGACGCTGGTGGGGCTGGAGCTGAGCAGTGTCTGCATGGAGTGAAACCACAGCACGACTTGGACAAATTAGCAAAGGCAGACTCCGGGAGTTTACTTCTCCCGCAGAGTTGGCAAAGGCGTATTTTTAATTTTGTAACCAACCGAAAGAAATGTTTGACTTTCCAGTGGAGATTTGAAGAAGAAACGAGCAGACTGTTTCTATCTCTGCCACCTCAACTCCCGAGCACATCAGAGTAGGGCTGCCCCTCTTGGAGCAAGTGCCGGCCAGAGAGGGAGGACGGTTACAACTTTGTAGTCTTGTGGTGCCTACTCTTGCAGAGATCATTCAGAACCCATTTTAAGTAAGCACTGCTCTGTTGTTGTGGAGTAAAGCATATTGTAAGGGACTGTGTTCAAATAAAAACACACGATTATCCCAAAATGCACATTAAAACACAGGCCCCATCAAGTCACCCCTTTTCTCAAACCCTACCCGGAATGACTCCCCTGTACAATGTGACCTGACATCTCCTTTACCAACCGCTCTGCTCCTGTTCTCTCTTCCCCTAGTCCAGGGTCTCCTTGCCTTTCTTGTACACTCCTGGAATTCCCTACCTTGGGGGCAGTGACTAGTTGTCTCCTTTGCTTGGACCCAGATAGCTACAAACTCACACCCTCATTTCCTTCAGTGTTAAACTCAAGTGCCACATCTTTGAGGAGGCCAAACACGGCCATTCTAGTTAAAATCACAACTTGCCCCCCTCCTGATGTCCCTTGCCTGTTCTACTTTGTTCTACTACTCATCTTCTATTTTACTATGTAATTTGCTTATGTCTTGTTTGTATGTTTTCTTTATGCAAGCATGCAAATTCTGCAAAGGCAGGTATCTTTGTTGCGTGCCCAGAACTCTGCTTGGCACATGGTAGGTACTGGTAAATGTTGGATACATTTGCTATTACAAACTTTATTTTCTTTTGGGGGTTTCTACAACTTCAAAAATTTAATGGAAAGTTCTGTGGCAGGGTGAACTCACTATCCTGATTTCTCAGTGTGTGTAAAAACAGGAATTTTTCACAAGAAAAGGAAAAAATAATGGTTTCAACTTAAATGACTCTGATTTCTAAATCGTTTTCCGTTAGCAAAACAAGTTTCTATTTTAATCTCAAGAAACATCCATGCCAATTCAGGCTTGGGACATTATTTTAGGCAAACAGCTTGGTGTCATCCATTTCAGATCTTTCTAATGAAGTCCAAAAATGTAGGAGTCAAAATATTTTTCTGCAGAAAATCAAATTTTTGTAAGTGTAATGTAGGCTCCAAGCTCCGGTGGCTACTCCTCAGCGGTTTGGGTTTGTTTGTTGGTTGGTTTATTGGTTCCTGGATTGGATTTGCAAATAAATCTCACCAGAGCAATGGATGAGTAGGAGAAAGGCGCTAACCTACAGGCTAAAAAATTAGAAATGGGCAGAAAAGGGAGAGTGATGAGTAAAAACGGGATAAGTCTCTGAGTAAAAGTGTGATGCTTTGCTAGCATGCCTTTTTCTTCTTTCCATATATTTTCTTTGGCCTCGTTCATCTTTCTTCTTCGTCTGGAAAAATTCCACTTACCCTTGGGGTCTAAGCTTAGCTGACACTCAGGAAGCCTTGGCTGACTTTTTGCTTGTCTGAAACTTCTGTGGCATATGCTTTGACACACTCCACTTCCTCTAGGGTGGTTCTTGATGCATTGTGTCATAATTGTTTCTCTACCACTCTGGGCTCCTTAAGACACTAGTCTAGCCAATAGGAGGGCAAGGGCAATGCCTATCTTGTTACCGTATCCCTCGTCCCCGGCACAATGCCTGGCACAAGGCTTACATTCAGCAAAGATTCAATAGATTGAATTGGATTGACTTTAATGCAGCCTGGTGAACTTTAGCGTCTCCCTTGAGTAAACTGTAGCTACTTATATCAGTCTTTGTTGAGTCCGTGAAATGAGGAATCTTTAAAGCACTTCCAAGATCTAACTGGTTATTATGTGGCAGTTATGATCATGGGTGTTCATTCCAAAAAAGAGGTAGAGTTGCAGTGGGAGTGACATTTCACTGTCTCAGGCTTAAAAACAAACAAGCAAGAATGGGATCAAAACAGATAGTTTTTAGCAATAACTACATTTTTCCACTAGGACAAATTTGGTTAGATTTCTTACCATGTAATGACATCTTGCAAGTAATAATTCCAGTTTTTTCTCATTCACAAATAATCATCTATGACTGGTCACAATATGATATGGATAAATAACAAAATAGAACCAAATAAACACCACTTCAAACACATGGAAATTAGAAGCTCTTAGTTCATTTTTAAAAATAAATATTTATTTAGAACCTACTATGTATAAGCCATTTCTAGGTACTGGGATTTCAGCTAAGAACAAGACAAAGTCCTGGGAGTTTACGTTCCAGTAGGGTAGCAAGACAATAAGGGCTATGAAGACAGGAAAAATGTATAAAGAGAGGATAAAGGGAGATTAAGGTTATGGAAGGTAATGAAGATGTGATTTTAGATGGAGTGTTTTGGTCACCTCTGAGGAAGTAACATTTGAGTAGAGATGGAATGAAATGAGGGAGAGGGCCATGCAGGAGTGTGAAGTAGGGGTGGTGTCCAGGCAGAGGGTAGAGCAAAGTCTGTTTTTCTATCAAGTTCTGAAATGCCTTCTCATAGTTGGTGTCAACAAACCATTAAACAAGCTATTGCTCACCAAAACCACCCCCCCCAATCCCATACGCAGTGGTGGCCCAAGCACAGGATTACTGTTTTAAAATACTTCTGTTAAGAGAAGGTTACATACAGCTGCTTATACACAACAATTTTGACTTCTTGTTGAGCAAGAATTACGGACACTGTCTGCTCTGGCAGTGGAGAAAGTGCCTTCATTAGACCCTTGGAGGAACCACGTTGGCCATAATCTTCCATAGCTACATCTTTCTTGGGGACTATGCATTATTCACAACCCTTCTTTGTTGGTAAAAATGTGAAGACCTGAGTGTTGCTTTAAGAAGCTAACAGAGACAGTCAATTTCAGGCCAGACTCATGGTTTCTGTGGCAACTAGATTTCCTAAAACCCTTATAGGCTTCTGATCTAATTGCTTCCAGTAAGTTCCTTGTGTGATAACAACAACCAAAGTCCTTCCCAGTCTTAGTTCTTAAGCCTGCTTTGTTTCTTTGCTTCCTCATGTCCATACCCTACTCCCTTATCTTAATGGGGGCCACCTTGAGGCTAGCCAAAATAATAGGCTGTTTAGGAGGGCAATACTCTTACTCTGACCCTTGCCACAAGGCTTGGATTCCTTTATTTGTATTAATGTTTGGGACATGAAAACAGCTGTCTTTTTCCACCCCAGGAGACCCTAAATTTCTGGACATTCTCATTTCCTTCTGCTTCTGTTTGCTAAGCAGCCAATTCTTGTCTGAATTCATCTCTTTCTTATGATACCTTACTAAAAGCAACAAGGGTAATATACCAATGTTTTATACAACTATATTCCCCTGATTTGGATATGCGTTGTGTCTTCTACATTTATTTATTTATTTTTTTGAGTTGGAGTTTCACTCCATCGCTCAGACTGGAGTGCAGTGGCTGCTCCCGGCCACCGCAGCTTCGACCCTCTGGGCTCCGCGATCCTTCCGCCTCAGCCTTCCGAGTATCCGGAATTACAGGCGCGCGCTACCATGCCTGGCTGATTTTTGATATATTGTAGAGATGAGGTCTCGCCAAGTTGCCCAGGTGGGTCTTGAACCCGCAGGCTCAGGCAATCCACTCACCTCGGCCTCCCAAAGCGTGGGATTACAGGCTGAGCCACTGAACCCGGCCCTCAATTATTGTAGGTAACAATTTTATGAAATAGCATAAGCGCCACCAACTTTCCAGCATACTCATAGCAGTTATAGTTATACCTTCATATTATCTCTCTGATGACTTCCTGTCACAAACAGAATGAAAAATAAACTCTTTCCTTGGTTCTCCTGCCTATCTCTCAAATAGCATGTTTGCCTGACTATTAAATAATGCACTTTGTTGTTGTTGTTAAGATAGTATTCCTTCTGGTACCAATTTCTTTGTCAGTTAAGGTAAAATGCTAAAATGTCATAACAAAGAGGCTGCTAAATAGGATGTTTTTCACAAGGTAGAAATTTGTTTCTTCATTATGTAAGTCTGAGGTGAGTATAATAGTTTGGTGGGTAGCTGTTTCACGTAGTTGTTCAGAAGACAGTGACCCTCTTGCCTTCCTGGTCACTCAGTAGTTGCCATTCTAGCCAGTGGGAAGGAGGAAAGGAAAGTATGGAGGAGGCACACTTGTTCTCATAAAGACTAGGGCCGGCAAACAGCACCTACAACTGCTACTCACTTTCACTCGAAAGCACTGAATCAGGTGGTCGCACCCAATTGCAAGGGAGGCTAGAAAATATAGACTAGCTATGAGCCCAAACTTTTCCCTATCACTATGTGTAATTTGGTAGC